GGGGCCGGGGTGGGACGTGAGGAAGCACCTGTTCAAACTGAGTGCCGACTGGGCCGACTACATGTCACAATGTACCCCGCCCCACTATTTACCACACCCTTCCTCGAATATGACTATGAATCGAGAAATTAACTGCTTTACCGAAGAGAGAGAAAAAGCCCCCAAACCGTACTTCCGGTCGTGTGGATGTATGGGGAAGGAGGATTGGAGAGGGGAAGTGGAGTTGAAGGTGAGAGGGGGAGAGTGAAAATTTGCATCAGTTTAGTGGGTCTGTAGGAAGGTAGGGCGGGTAGCTTTCTGTAGCTTTCTTTCTGCCGTGTACCCTGCTATTGTGTCCAGTCTCGTCCAGACCATAAACAGTAAAAAATTGTCGGTCGTTAGAGATGGAATAAACAATCTCACGATTCATATTCTAGTTTCCTTTAAACGGGAGTCAAAAAGTAGAGGTTCAAAACACAGCCACCTATCACTAGTTTTGGTTTCCTAATGCTGACTGCTGACGCCCGATCTCCACAGGACGCAGGACACTCACACTCACAACTCACGTAACATTACGCACGGCGTAGGGTATGCTTGCAAGTATTGACTGACAGCTGAGGTGCTTCCTACCATTTTCTAGATGAAAAACTGCCTCGGTCTGAATTTGGACTAGTAACAATCCAGTGCAAAATCTTTTTCTGACTTGTCAAAAACGCACACGCGTGAGTGGTGAGTGCGTGTGTGTGACTCGGATTGTCAAGGGCGGAATTAGGATGTCACATTTCTTCCTGTCTCATGTAAGTAACAAATGAAATTTTAGAGTGAATCGGAGCAGAAATGAAGGTGAATAAAAAAAACAAAAACAGTTATTAAACAATATTTGTGATTTATTGACACTTATATAAATTGAAATAATAATAATAATAATAATATATATAATAACGCTCATTTAGATATAATCAGAATATGTTTAAAATGAGGGAAAATCACTAAGCTTTGTTCTCATATGAATATGAAACTTTGTAAGCAAGAAGGACCTGTATACTTTTCTTTCAGACTACAAAACTGATAAAATGTTCAATGCATGGAATTATACATTATGAAAAAGCAGCCCATGTTGATAAATTTGTGGTCTCATTTAAAAAAATGACACTTCAGTATGGAATTGCAAGTGTGAAAATTTGATTCAGGGCATTGTCAGACTATTTCTCTCATGACTGCAAAATCAACCCAATTAAAACACTTACTTCTAAAATAAATACACAGTATATGGATTGCTCAAAGTCACTCAAAGATAAAGTGAAAAATTGAGCTGGTGTCTCTTCCAGACAATGATTTCTGACACAAATTAAAAGGCGCATAACTTCTAAACAATGCAGATCAAAGAAATAAAATAGGAACAATACCTAATGAAAATTGATAGGGTAAGTAGTTAAGTTGAGCAGAAACAGTGAAGGTAGTTGCTTGCAAAGTTTCACTCAGATGGATCCTTGTCAATGCCTCATTCTTTCCATATTATATCACACACTGCACTTTCACATGACTCCATAAAAAACACGAAGAAAAGATACATCACAATTGAAAGGTCAGGGTTCTGGTAGCTAAGGCGCAGCTATTTCTATTTCCAATAATATTTCCAAATAATATGATCAAGATCGAATCAACCTTCAAATTTTTGATTTAAGTACTTTCTTTGTCAAGCAAAGAAATATAAAGTCAGGTATAATTAATTACTAACAGAATCAAAAGTCAGATTACAGCTTTTCAAACAATTGGCAAACATCCTAGTGTTGAAGCGTTTTCAAGGCATTTTTCTTATCTAAAAATTAACAGATAACAAGGTTTCATCACAAAAGTAGCCACATTGATTTTACAACGACTGGGCCAGACCAGCTTGACATACACATTCCAGCAATTACACACCAAAACTTGTCATGAGAGTCACTTGACTATAAAATTGATTCATTGATACCTTTAACAACCTATACTGAAGGTACCCAAAAGAGATGGGAACCTACATGGCATACAACAAACTCGTTCATGTTAAACTGAAAAAGGAAAAACCTAACGAACTATACATACTATTTACACACAATTATGTATAATTTCAGGGTGAGAAATCAGCTCCTCCAGCTACCACACAGGGTTCAAACCTACCCAACTGACAAACTGTCTTAGACACCATAGCAGGACACAATTTGGAGATCCCACTAGATAAAAAATGATCTTGACATTTTATTTTATAGCTATCAGTCAAAAAAGAGGTCCAGCCTCCACAAGATCTTAATTTTACTTTAGCTGTTTATTCTCTTTAAAACTCAATGCTTCAAAGTGAAAATGAAAAGCAATTGATGTTGGTTGGACCGATAAGCCTTTAGAATTAATTTTGTTGTGGTCACAGAGAACAACTGGGCTCACCTTGAAAAGATGAAGTATTTTGCGTTTTGATTAAAAATGATGATAATACGCCAATGTCAAAGAGGCGAATGAATAAAAAATAATGTAGAGAACAACAATTTTAAAATTACCATGTACATGCACACCATTCAATTCAAGGCAAGAATCAAACAGGAATTAACAGATGAGTGGGCTTGAAAATTTTCCATATTTCATCAGAGCTGACTTCTCTTATTCAGGTTACCTAACATTCAAAATTCTGTACATATTTGCAAATAAAGTTTTATACCTACAGCACTGCTCAAATCTGACGTCAATAAATCAGAAATCGAGAGATAAATGAAACAGCTACACTGAGTATACTGGTAGCCGTATTTTGATACATACTTGTAATTAGTTATTACCATTGTGATAAATGACTAAGATAACTATTTTGTGACTTATTGGCAGTTATCAGACTATCCAGATCAATCTAGGTACAGAAGATACCACCCTTTCAACTTTTCACATTTTCATTATAGAAATTATCTTTGAAGCTGTGGCTACTATTGTGCATGGCAGCAAGAATATTTCATAATGTGTCAACTGAAAGCCTTTTACAACAATAATCAGTTTCCAAGTTTCCCTCAAAGTAATTTCAGCAATAAAAAGAAAACTTTAATTAGTGACAAAGTTACTTTTGACCACTAAACTTCACTTTAACTTATGGGAAAAAATTAACTACAAAGTAGTACCAGAAGAGCGGTGCATAACTTTTATGCATGTAGTCATAGACTACTTGCTAAAGTGAGCACAAATGTTAAAATAACCAAATCAACTGAATTAATAAAACTAAATTTCATCACAATTTTATAAGGACTTTCAGGACACAAAGATAAACATGACTGTGCCATGTTTTAATGTAAAGACTAATCAATCAGTAAAAGAAGAGATACATTGACAAAATAGCAAGCTATTGCATTTACCAGTTAGCCATGCCTGGTTTATTCAATGTCATGAAATATATTTGGCATGAAGAACCCCCTTTTGCAGATGAGAAGAACACCTGTAATGAATTAAAAGGTGCATTTGTATACATTTTATTTCATATTAGATCCTTAACTCCAAATGATATTCTCATATTATCATACCTTGTCATTTCTTTCACACAGGAACTTCAGTCTCTGAGCTTTCTTGTGCATGAAAACGCCATCTAGATGACCTGACTCCACACTGCGTATTTCTATGGCTTTGTTACCCCATCCCATTATTTGACCAGTGCCTATAAAGGCAACAGATGTTGGCATTTCACCCCACTGAAGCACAATATTTTTTGATACCTAGAATAAAAACTGTGTCAGTAAACATTTTCTTAATTTTAAAAGTAAGCAGACATATTATTACTCTTACCTTGCCGTATGTATTGACATACACTCCTTCATTATCATAGCAAAGCAAAAGCTGCATGCCATTTGAGTTAGGAAGTGGTACTATACAGTGAGGAGAGATAGGTCCTTGAGACTGAAAAATGATTTTAAAAGAACATACAAAAACATTAATTAAACCTCAGAAGTTATAATTAGTAGTAGAAAGAATATAATTCAAAAAGTAACTCTTACCATGCTGACATGTTTCGGGAGATAAACATCATACACAGAGGCAGAATCAAGATCAACCGCATGGAATCCGTCAGCAGAACCATAAATAACCTTCAAACGGGTTCCCTCTTCAACAGTTAGATCAACTAAGAGGGGGCGGTGTTGAAGATCACCAAAAGACTGAAATATTTAGTAAGAAAATATTTTGAGAAACTACATGCATATACCATCATACACATCATACATATACCATAAAATATAATGCATTAAACACTGCAACTCATACCTTAAATGCCATGAATTTGTGGTAGGGTTTTGGTGCCCATGCATAAATTTCAATACTATCTTTTAGGGCAATAACTAAAAACTTTATCCGTTCATATTTCACTATTTTGAAATGCACTGCTCCCTGCAAATCCCCTACATTGATCCAGCCATTGCGTCTTTCAACTTGTTGCTAATGAAACAATCAAAAACACTTGTTAACCCCCAAGAGGTGATGTAGTGATAAAACACATTTCAAAAAGTTTTCTTACCTCATTAACACCATCTGTACGCAAAATTTTTGATTTCAACCAGGACAAGTAGTAAACACGGACTCTATTCTTCTTCCCAGAAATAGTGACAAGGATATTTTGTCCCTCTAAAACCTCCATTTGTTGAAACCGTCGTCGCGAAATAAGCTGATACACCTTTCCTTGACCACTGCGGTCCAAAAGCATGAGGCCATTCTCAGTACCAATTAGAAGGTTGACACCTGTCAAATATAACCAGTCAGTAATTAAAAAATAAAGCTTTGTTAAAAATGTTGAGATGATCTAAATTATATAAGCCAAAACAACTACACAAATGCAAAAAAACATACCCCATAATGCAGCGCACAAGATTTCTGAGTTGAACCTCTTCTTGTACTTCCTTATTTCTGGCGTGTCTGAGCCAATATCATGGGATGTGGGAGTCACATTGACATTGACATGAGATTCTCTTCTGCTGGGCCCAGATCCTCCCGCGCCAAACCCGAATGTCAAAAATGACCTCTGTTTCTGTTGAAGAGGGTTGAAACCACCCATATGTGATGAAGGAGATATAAGGGAAGAAGATGAAGCAGTAGAAGTGTTGGAGGGACTGACACGAGGACCTCCAACACTCCCACCAATTCCCTTGATTGCTTGTCGATACTGGAAAAGGAGAGACAAAAAGAATATATGACAGTTAAATGCAATAAACTTAAAGACAACTGTTTGTAAAGTCATGAGGCAAAAATAGAAAGGAAACAGAAAATATCTCAAGATTGTAGCCTACAGTTTGTAGTCCACAAAAACAAGCTATGGAAGAGTTTTTCTAAAGGTGCACCATCTAGGAACAAATATTTTACACCTATCATAATACAAGATACCCTGAAACTAAAGAAAACAACTGCAACCAGCCAAGCTAACTTTAAAAAGATTGTAGCACACAGCAACTTTGGTGAAGCAGAAAATCACCAAAACACCAACAGTCTTAAAGTAATAACGAGGCTGGTGAGAAGGGTTTTCATCTGTTTATTTTCAAACAACCCATCCTATTAGGTTCTACATCTGTTAATACAATATCCAAATAAAGTATCTAAGGTAATCATAGAGTGCTTGAGCAGTTGCTAACAGAGTTGTTACAAGCTCTGAATTTTCAATTGCACTGACTTTTCCCTGACTAAAATCCCAATTTTTTCTGCCTTTCAATGAAAGAAAGTAAGCAGAATTCCAAGAAACAGGAAGAAAACTTTGACTATTTATCACCCATTCATTTGAAAGAGGCAGTCAAAAGGGGAAATTTTAGTGACTGCTGCCTAAATTTTGTTGACTTTAGAAGTTCTCAGTCTGTAATAGCCCTGACAACTGTAAAGTGAAATTGCCTTTCAAAACTGCTTCCTTGCACTTAAGTGTTTTATGTTCCCAATAGGAAACAATAATAAATACTCCAATGCAACACCTAAAAGGATTTTAGCAGCGGTGTAATTGAATCTGCATTTTTAAAAGCATGAGATGGTTCTGCTCTGATGTGTACCACGTTGACGGGCGCATGGTCATGCCCTGTGTTCAGGCCTAAAATTATCCACAGTCAACATGTTAATGAAGAGAACTGTCTGCATGCACCTCTCATTCATTTGCCACTAATATACATGTCTTCATATTAGTTTAAAAATTCATGCAGCTCACATTTAAGTCATGCAAACAGGAAAACAATACTTTCATGATGCTGACACTGTGGGAAAAAAGTTTTATTGCTTGTTAAACACTTGGCTAGGAAGAAGATGCTTAACAGCCTTAATCTTCAAAATAGTAATGTTTTGAAATTTATTTTTTACTGTTTCATCAACCCTTAATTTCCTTATTTAATTTAACACAGCCTAGAGTCCCATAGCAGATTTGTAGAGTAGGAAAGAAGTAAGTTGGCAGACCGGCAAAACAAAACCGTTATATTGCGCACACACAAAAACATTCAACATATATTCATTGAAGGCGCTATTATCCATACTTACATGAAAAGTTAAATTATTCTTGTCCAAGAGCTTCCCCTCAGGTCAGTTAGTAGGTCAGAGCATGTTCGACCGCGAAAAAAAATACAACACAGCATTAGAGGGATCCAAGCAGGCCGTCTTAAATTGTGCTTGCAGTCAAGTTGCAAGCCCATGTGTAATTTAAGAGATTTTGATAAAACAGCTGGCCAAAATTAATTCTCTTATTCAGAGAAATTCTGGACACAACCGAAGATCCAGATTATGGCCACAATAGACAGCAGCACCATTTTGAAGCACACATTTCACCACATATACTTGCAGGGGAAATCCACACATACACAGACAATACAGAGCAAAGTGGGAATAAAAAGCGGAATGTTTATGGCACAAATACAAGGACACTCTGCATTTGAATTTCCCAACAACCTGATCACCCCCAGATTTTTTAAAATCCTTTATCTGAACCACATTCCTAACCAAAATAATTATCGGAATGATAGAGATACTGTCATGTGCATTTCTGAAATTATTTGACTTTTCCCCGTCCTGGCTCAAATTAGCTAATGTCCATGCTGATTATATTGGCTACATGGGAGAATGCGCCATGCTGTACACATTCCATCACCATACCCTGCAATTGGTGGCAAGTAAGCAAGACAAGTTATGCATTTGAGATTATCTGCAGCACTTGCACACATACACACACACATTAAGAGCGAGCCAGAGAAAAAGATTGTGATTCGGTCTGAATACAATAAAGCTTTGAAGCCCCAAGATTGTCAGTTGTCAACAATTTAAATTGGAACAAAACTTGTTTAAACATAATTTTTATATTAGATTAGGTACATGCAGGTGAAAGAAAACTGATTAACTGCAGTATGTTTGATAGCTACATGTTAAGAATTACAAAATAAAAAGCCCTGAGAATTTATAAGCGTGAAAACTATTTAGTTTTAATGATGGCCAAACTGGCTAAACTGCTGTAAACAGGTTCACAGATAAAATTGTGCAGATGGAAGAAAGGAAATAACTGTTTTTGAGACCACAAGCCTAGGCTGCAACGTTCGCCCTGACAAAATCAATAACCCTGACGAGATAATACGTATAGGATAATGAAAGCAAAACCCAGAAAACACCAGATGGAAGTTCGTGTCATACTAGACAAAGCCTACAAGAAATGTGGAGAAATGAGTGCTGCACAGAGCATGTTACATGACAAAAATTTGTAGCAAGTCTGTCATTAATGGAGTCTTAAAAATATAAATTGAAAAGAGAAAAAGCAACCATCGAAATAACTTAGCTGAAACAAAATCTGTTCCATGATCAATTTCAAGCTGTCTGCCTCATAAGACCTGATAAGTTTCAGCCTAAGATTATCAAATTAGCTATGATCTACAGTTTCTAGCTATTATATTATGTAAAATTGACACTAAAATAGATTTGAAATGAAATGGAAAGTTGTGGCTTAGAGCAAACATGACAATAACATAAGATCTAAAATGCGTTTCCAAACAAGCAAATCTATGGATTATTTAGATTGCTTTAAATAAGTTGCAAGTTGAATTAAGCATATTTATAAGATTTACAGAACATACTGTATATGAGTCAGAAAGCACAATACATCAAAGAGAATAAAAAGACGAAAGCTCACCTCATCACTAGTTGACTTATCCTGCCTCTGGTTCGGTGTGCCTGGACTTGATGTCTGTGTAGAAGAAAATAAGGAGGCATGTAAAAAAAGATTTAGAGCACTTCACAAGAAACTTTCCTGTTCAAATCATTTTGAAGCAAATAATAAAAATAAAATTGTTTGTTGGTACCTCAGACACAAAATGTAACCATGTTACCTCTTGACCCCAAGAGTTTGTGGTGTTTTAGACAACAAGTACATATTTGGTTAGCGAACCGCATGATAATAATTAAGAAAACTTTTAACCAGTTGCAACTCACACCTAGGATCTTAAGGCCTCCAAACCAATGACAAAAGACAACTTAGGTAATAGCTAATCATTGAGAGAAATTTTGAATCTATAGGTAAGACCTATGACCAATGATTTGACGGTTCAATATTGAACAATTCAACTTTAATTTAATCCAGCCAAGCAAAGTTTTCTAATGTTGTAATTAAAAACCACATTCAATGATACTTTGCTCAAAAATTGAGAAAAAAAAAATAATGATTTTGTAATTAAGTTGACACTGTTTTAACTTAAAATTAAATTCAGTTTGAATCTGATCAATTACTGACTGCTATGTACCTGAGTAAGGAGGTCGGGAAGTACTGAGCTCGTTCTCGAACCAGGAGTACTGAGCTGACCGGGAGAAGAATCCATTCGGTGAAAATCTCCTCGGCGCTCCTCTCGGTTCTGACAACAAAAAAACATTGTTTGAGCCCTGAAATGCCTCACACGATGAAAATATAATTTTTCCTGTATAATCAATGTACATATGAGCTACAATTATTTAAGGAAAAGACATAAAGGGGGAAAAAAACAAAACAGATGAACTAAACAAAATAAGGTCAATGATGATACAGTCTAGTAAGCAACTAATGCAATTATAAATTAAGATTAATGCAGTTTGATGGACCATAAAACATAACGCACCACATTTGAAGCATGCAATAAATAGTTAGTTCTAGAGGCATTTAACCATGCACAATGTAACATGCTTGCTAAGTTCATTGGTAATAGGAAAATACTACAATAAATTATGTAAACCAGACAAGAAATCATCAGGTTAGAGAATGGTTCACATGAGTTTCTAAATTTAAAATGAGGCAAGCAAACAGTTAAGAAATATATGCAGAATGACTCAAGTACCAGCACCCAAATGCAATGTTAAAACTCCAAAGTAATTCTGACTCAATTAAAGACAAATTAACATTCCATGTGAAGATCAAATGTGCTTGGCAGTTAATTGGGAAAATGTATAGCAGGAGTAACAAATAAAGAACCAGCAAAGTGAATGGGAAAACAAAATAGGTGGGATCTTCAAGTTCAGAGATACTAAAAGTAAAAATGAAGAGAATCATTTAAAAAGAGTACAAAATCTAAACAATTGTTTGGTCAGAGGCATTTACAACCAACACCTGCACACTTTCCTTACGGAAAGATTAAAGGTAAAAATAAAGTGTAGTCTTTCCCTTTTCCCCCTGTGCATTGTTATTATGCTGCTATAGAAGTGTTAGTATATGAATGAGATTTAGAATAGGGACAGATTTAAGAAGACAGATTATAATTCGTGTTTTCGTGCGTCGGTGCTTTACTCCAGCGCCAACTAACCTGCCACTCAACGTGTTCACCACCACCCCCTTCACCTTGGTCCCCTTGAGTGCTGCTATTGCTGCTACGCCGCCAAGCACGCATCAACACAATATCCCCTTCTGTCTTCTCCCGGCGTGGTCGCACAGCAGACCAATCATTTCCACCATTCTTTGGTATGGAATCTGATTCACCACTCTTCCAGTCTGTAAGCACTGGCTCCCCACATTGCTTCCTTCCTGGCACAAACCGACTTTTTGAGGGAGTCTCTTTTCCATATAGACCTGAGCTAATACCTGCTACTATAGAAGCAGCTATTTCGGAGCCACGTCTCGCATTATTGAATGAAAATGTTACACCCGACCCTTTAGTGGCTTCAGATGAGGTTGAGTCCAAAATCAATGCAGAATGACGATTGGACCGGCCAGGGAAAAAATCTGAGTTCTCTCTGCGAAATACATGTCGTTTAGAATCCACAAGCTTCAGCTGAGATTCCCGCACCTTGGAGTCTGGAGTACCAGATGATGGAGCTTTTGGTAAAATGCTTCTTGATGATTTGTCCTTAACACTGCTATTTTCCCCATCTTCAAAACCAGGATTGTCAAAACTTTTACTGTTGCGATCTGAGTGGCTCTTGCGGGTCTCCTTTGATCGATCCGAATCAACACTAAGGCGATCAAGGCGGTCATTAAATCCTTGGAAGAATCGGTCAAAATCCCATTCTTTGAGAAGCTGTTGGTCAGCCAGCTCTGAATTGCGAACACTACTCCTCTTGCAATCATCTCCAAGATTCTGATTGGTCATTCATTTCATAACATAAAAAAAAGAAAACAAAAATAAAAATAAGACAAAACAGAGAGTAAAAAGGGAAAGCGTAGATCTAAATATTTGGGCTTTTTTTGGTAGCTGGTAAAATTGTACTCTGACTTAAAAACAACCCGAGAAGAGGAATGTTGGTGTAAAGGAAGTGCTCTATTCTGTGATCCCAAACTAACATAACATGGACATTTTGCACATCATAGTCACAAAAAATATGTAGAGAGACACATATTCTATAACTAGGAAACAAAACTACACAGAACATAAAATCTGTCCATGCCATCTGAAAAATTTGAAGCAAAGCAGGTATACAGCTGACGGAAACAAAAATGCCTCTGAACAGCTCTGGAGCCATTGCATGCCATTAGCACATACATGGCTAATTTTAAAATAAAATTACTTTCTTCCCAAATTTTAAATAACCAATAAAATTCATGGTCAAATCTTGAAGTTTGAGCTGAGCTGTTGTTAATGACAACAAACAACTTCATAGCAACGCACAGAAGAGCAGTAAAACATGATGCTTGTAGCACCTGCAGCCCGCACCATGAAAGTGAGAGCATGCTGATTGCATGTTAGTGGGTGCAACATTCATCAAGTGTACTAATGAAATACAAAGATCCATATGATGTATGTACCAACTTCATTTTAGACAGTCAAACAAATGGTAGGAACAGTATTACATGATTTCTTTTATCTTTTTTTTAAGAGAAAAAGGAGGGGGG